CACCTTAGATGTGAACCATGATTTTTATGTCCTGAAGCACCTCTTTGAACTCGCCCAGGAAAGACTGGGCTGCAAAAATCTGCTCCAGTACCTGTTGTGTCAAGAAGTTCTAGCAGCTAATCTATCCTTTCTTCTCTGAAAGTGTCTTCTGTGAAAATATCGTGGCTTCTGGACTTTCACTGATGATAAATTGTAAAGTTTCATTTTGAAAACGGTCTTATACCTCTCATGAACTGTTAAAACAGATCTTTGTGGCAGTGACTCAAAATGCCTAGATGAAGAAAATGTTACCTGTGGTGTGACAAGTTGAGAATCTTCTGCCCAGGTGGAAAGACAGAGCACCACAAAACTACAACCAAATTGGAGGGTCATTTCCAGTACTGCCATTTGGATTGATTTGGACAAATGTATGGGAGACATTTGTTATAATGGCCTGAGCGCTTCCAGATCAATTGCCAATCTCTGACTTCCAGGATATGAGCTTCCCTTCCAGGATTTTCTGTAGAGAAACAGAACAGGAGTTTCTTGTAGCTGAAGAGAACCAAGTGTTCCATGAGTGCTTGCAGAGGACCTAGTCAAGCTGTAGCTGAAACAAAAGCAAGGACATCTGCCTTTCAGAAGAATGTTCTTAGCTTCAGAGTCTAGGTCTTTATAAGAATGACATAACTCTGCTAATTCTCCAGAAAGCTGCAGAACAGAAATGTTAAAAGCACTGTAGGTAGTGTTCTAAATTGGTCTCTGAGGATGCTGATTGTCCCCTTCTGTCCCAGCTTTTGGAAATGGTTTTGATTTCTGTGTTCAGAAATCAAGTAGACATATTTACTTCAGTTTCAGTGTAATATAGGAGTCCATGCTGTTGTAATTTTTATTTATTTTTTTTTTTTTTTTAAGGATCAGTCTCCCCCAGAAGTTGAAACAAACAGGGCTTTTATTTCTCTGGGACCAGTAAAAAAGGCACAAGCATCTTTCTGAAGGAAAGTAATTTCGCTATATGTGCTTCCTTTAGAAAGTGATCAAGAGCTGATGAGATCAAGCATTTTGGTTTCAAAAGGGAATTAACAGTGCAGACCATAAAAATGATGAATGTGCAGTTTTCAGTGATTTGGGAGATTTGCTGATTGAAACAAGCTCATGAATCATTAGGTTTTTTAAAAAAACAGGCCATAAAAAACTGTACTGTAGACTGCTTTGTTTGGATACTAAGGAATCTGGAAACTATTGTAAAAGTTAAAAGATTCCACCCCCCATATTACTGTGTATTTTTCTCCCATCGGTTTGTTGCTGATCAGCACTGGTTGTCTGCCTTATATAACAGTGTTTGAGTATGAATTTTAGCTGTGTAACTATTTTGACCAAAATTTCAATTGTTAACTGCCTGTATACAGAGGAATAGAAAAAAAGAGAAATAGAGTGACTGCTTTGTGCTTTGCAAGAAAATTGTTTGTTATTTATAGTAATGACCACTTGTTGTCATAGTATTTTCCTTGCTCATTTGAGCTTTGTGTATTGTAGGTGCTGGGTAGTAATGCGATATTCAACAGCATGTTTTAATATTATGGTTGACTTAGTTTTCGTAATATGTTAATAGTAGCGAAGGAATATCCTCAGTATTTTTCTCAAGTGAAACAGCCTGTTTTCTCCATTTCTCCCTATGCGGTGTATGTATTTCATTCTTTCTGTGACTTCTGTTTTTCTTCATGTCATAAGACATAGACCATAAAATTCTCCCTTTCTCCATATGTCTTCAAGTGACCAGGTTATAACTTACATATATATTTTTTGAGTGGAGAAAAAAATGTATGCTGTTTGATACAAATGGATTATACTGGGCGAGAAGGAAAATGGACACGCTCAGTGACAATTGTCGTCTACTTTCTCAGAGGTAGATGGCCCTGCCCTTTATGATATTCCGCATCAGTGATGAGCAAGCATGCCACTAGCCTTACGTTTAGAGCAAGTCGAGCAACTGAAATAATGAAGCAGCCGTGTCCCCAGCTTCAACACCAAGCTTGTTCTTGAGTCTTACTGCTCCTTTCTGGCTCCCTCCTTGACCCTCTGCCAGTATGGAGCAAGCATCAGCTTGTGCTATGGTGGGGACCAGCCTGTGCTGGCTGCAAGAGGGGCTAGCTAAAGGTCTAAGGTATTTCTACCTTTCAGTTGGGACACTGAGTTAGAACCATCTCCTTTGTGTAGGTACTTTTTCCATAGAAAGTGTAGGAAATTATCTCAATACTCTTTTACTCTGTAAGGCTTGCATTAAATGAGCTTACCTCTTTGTAAGTATTTGTCAGTATTATTGCAGTATTGTATGCCAACAGATATTAACTGCTCAAGTGAGAAATAGTGATATTCACGTGAGGGAGGGGAGGCTGAAAAGAGAACAGTAAAAGATCATCAGGTAAGATGTACTGAGTACACTCACAACACTAAGTCAAAAGTGGTTTGCAAGGGATGTGTCTGAGTTCTTGCTCTATCATGCTTAAAAAAAATAATGAAAGATCATGAAAGATTGATCTGCCCTGTAGTAATTCCTTGTTCAAACATTAGATCTGTTCAGGGTTTTCTGTAGGTATAACTTGTGAACAGTGTCTTAATGATATTATAGCTCAGGAGGTATCCTGCAGGATGCTGCTACTTTGCCTGTAGCTCTTCCTGGAGGAAGGACCTGTTTGTAGCAGCAGTGACTAGGGGCCAAGTTCCTCGTGCACAATCCAATAAGCAATAGTCAGGGGCAGGAAGTAGAGAAAGCATCCCTCCCTACCTGGGCAGAAGTCCTGCCAGGATGTTCCACGGTGTGCGGGTAGAACAGTCGTCTTGCCATGTTCTCCCTTCCCTCTACCCCACCTTTGCAGGAGGCAGTCTCCTGCTTGACTGTTTGCACCGAACGGGAGGTGGTTTGGGGGTAGGTCTGTGATTGCGATGTGGTGACACTGGTTGCCTGCATGGGGAGGAAGAGGTTAACCTTCAGGGGAGCTTGGGAAGGGAGCAGGTCCCAAAGTCCAGATTTCCTGGCCCTGTGGCTGCTAGGGTTAGACTGTTCTGCAGAACTAAGTCAAAGGTGGTGTGGGACACCATAATCTTTAGCAATGACTCTCTTGCTGTCATGTTTATCATGTGTAATCATGTTTAAAAACAGTGCAGTCTGATCAAAAATTCTGTCATGCTGTTGTGAGCTGTTGAAAATGACATTATATGTTACTTTCAAGAGCAAATTACCTTTAAATATTTAAGATAAGTTCTTTTTCTAAACAGAAGCCCTGTCATTACCTTTATACTGGTTGAAGAATAAAAATATAAAATTTCATATATTTCCTTTCATGGAAAGTTTAATATCTAATTTCAGAGTAAACATTAGCATTCTTAGTATTGACATTTGTCATGTTTATTAGCTATAGGAGGTTAAATGTTGCATGTATTATGCTGGCTTTCTTCTGTAAATAATTAGATCACTGTGATATATGTATTTTCCCATTTTTTATATATACATGGATCTGAAAGAATTTCTTTCTGTGTGGATGGATGTTACAGAGCTGTAGTTATTTTAGTACCCTTGATGTGCAACTGTTATGTCAGTTGTTGAAATAGTTCTTTGATGTCATATTTTGGTAGTGTGAAGAACCAACCCCAGGATTGGATGGAGTACTCTAATCAACGTATAGGCAAAAGAACTCGGGTGTTTGTTATCTGCTTGAGTTAAGCTGTAGATTCCTCATTGGGATTTGCCCCAACTGGCTGATGGCTGTTGCAGCTGTATGTCTCCTCTTTGTTAAGATTTACTATGTATATTTAATGCACAAGTTCATTGTAGGGTTTGGAGCAACATATGAGGGCAAAATTACTTATTTGCTTTACCTTAACTTTGCATTTTTGTATAAACGGCAGTCTTTTAATAAAAAATGAAATTGCTCTAAGCATACATTTCTTTACAGTGTTAGTGTAGATAATCTTAGCTGAAGAAGGTAACAGTGACATACGGAGTGTCCAGAGGAGTACAGGGAATGCAAAATATCCTTGAGAAACAGACCATGAGGGAATCTCATGCCTGTGAAGTCGTCTCCTTGGCTCTCGGCAACTCGAGGGCTCTGTGGCTTATCTGCCTGCTTGGTACTGTGGTATTGTAAGAATTGTCTGCTGGGTTTGGGGTCTCCCGATGCCATTTCTGTTTTTCTCTTAATAAAGTTAGTGAATCTCTTTATATAGTTAGAGGAATTGGGAATCTGTCTGTTAAACAAGATTTCTTGCATAACTTTGCTAAGAAACATCTCTTCTCTGATGCTGTTTCAGGTGTTACACTTTTGTATAACTCCTTTAGTGATGTTTTTGCCTGTTACGCTTTTCCATTTTGAACATCCTTCTTAGGTGACCATGCTGCTTTTGGGATAGCTTAGTTTTCTGAAATTTATGTACATAACAAGGACTTTAAATTATCTATTGTTTAAAAAACAAACAAACAAACAAAACCAACAAAAACCCTGCTATATTGGTCTGTTCTGGGTTCTGTCAAACACAAAATTGAAGCAGCCTTTGTGGATGGTGAAGTGTGTTGCTTGTAGCAAGGAAGCATGATCAAGTAGACTAACATAGAGATGAGAGCTGAACTGAAGAGTCATGTTAAGGACTCTCTGATCTATAACATGAAATTTGTATTATGTTGGTCTGATGTTCTGTGAGGTGGAAGTAGTTCATGAGGCGTCTCGGGAAGCTTGATAATCATCTGCTATGGAATGGCAAATTACGGTATTTTTTTCCAAGATGATGAACAGAAGTCAAAGCAGGATGAAGCAGTGAATAAGTTGATTGGAAACCATAGTTTCTGAAAATACTGTTTTCTAACTAGCTCTTGTAAAGCATTTATCTTCAAAAAACTGCTGTGCAAGAGTAAATTACCGTTAATGTTTTACCTTCCCTAGTATTTCAGGAGCTCTCATTTCTGTGAAAACAGTAGAGAAGTTGACTAGTTTGGTTTTATGTCTGCTAAAAGCCATTTTCCCCCCCTTTTTGCAGGTGAGATTAGTTTGGGGATGTGAATACAATGAGTGTAAACCAGCAAGCTCACACAGGGCCTCCTTACGGGCAACCTCAGCCTGGATATCAGGGATACCAGCAGCCGGCCTATGGAGGACAGCCATTGCCAGGGGTTCCTCAATCGCAATATGGAGCTTATAATGGTCCGATGCCAGGATATCAACAGCCAGTCCCTCCACAAGGTACTTCTCAGTCAAAATTTAATGATTGATAACCTGTGAGTTGTTGCGTGCATGGATTTCTTTTTTGTATACTTCCTATTGTTAGTCTTTTTTTTTTTTGTGGTAGCAATTATCTTTTCTTCTGTATGTAGCTTACATGACGTTAAAAATCATGATCTTCCTGTACATTCTGAGGTTATTGTTCTGTCATTTGTCCATTTTCATAGGGCTTACTCTTCTTTTAATAGCTCATAAAATTAACACGTTGAGAAGCACAGACTGCTTTTGTTTCTGTATGTCCCTGCCCCCGTGGTACTGAAGCACCTGACTAGGACAGTCTTTCTCATGAGTTTATGTGGAGGGGCAGCAGTTACGGACTGCAGCAGATTAGTAATTGAGACTGCCTTACATGATTATGTAGAAAGATCTGCACTCCATCCTGAAAGGTTAAGACATACAACTCTAGGCAGAAAGACTGTTTAGAGCGATTTTTTCTGATGCCTTTAAAATCAATAGAAAGTTTGTGGGCATGTGGCAAGCTAATGTGTTCCTGTTCCAGAATTTTCCTGGTTCTGCAGGATCATGTCACTTGTTGTCTTTGTTTATTAAAAAAAAAAAAAAAGAAACAAAGTGGTTCAACTTTTTTTTTCCTGTTTTCAAAAGAAAGACTGACTTAAAATTATTAGACAACTTCAGGAGTCTTTGTTTCAGAGTACCTGAATTGCTTTGGGAGATTAATAGTGATTTTTAACATCTGAAATGTGGAAGAGAAAATACTATTGCTTTGAGTAAAAGTATTTCTGTCTTTCAAAATCATGTGGATGAATTCAGTTTTGCTGAGATAAGCACAACATGAACTTCCACTCTGAAATGTTTGTTTAGATTTCAGATTGGTATTCTAAGGAAATAAGGAATATGCTAATATATATGGTCTCTGTATTATTCTTCCCTCCAAGTACATCTTGAATTTTTTTGCAACTTCTTGAATTTTACACCAAACTAAACGGGAAGGATAAAACAGTCAAAGTGCCTATAGTTGTCTTGAAACTAACAGAAGTGGGAGACTGAAATCCGGGAGCTGAATAATTACCCTGTTGCATTTTTTGTGTGGAGTTAGGGTAGCGGAGAGTTAGTAGAAGAGTTAGTGTGGTGTGTTAAAGAATGGGTTATTCAGTTGCTCCATCTTCCTTCTCTTCCTTAATCCTTTTCCTCCTCTCAGCTCAATAAATCTCTTCCAACCGCACTTTTAATCTGTGGGTTTTGAACTAATTTCACAGAGGGTTTAAATTCCTATAAAAGTAATGAAAATCAGCACTGGGCAGAGGAAAGAAATCCCGCTTCTTGGGAAAGCAGAGGCAGAGCCCAGCCACTGAGTACTCTGGCTGCTCAATGTAGCCTTTGACTAACTAGTGTTTCCTGTCCCATGGAAGGAATGGGGAGAAATTGGACTTGCTTCAGTGAGGGAGAGAAGGAGATTGAAGAAAGGCAAAGATTAGTACAGATTTGTTGGAAAAGATTCATCAGTGCAGCTATTTATAGAAAATGGGTTTTGGCTGTTAGCAGCGTGAAGAATGTGTAGGATGTTTGTGAAAAGAAACTGATGAGCATCTTCTATCAGATACTTAAAGAATTATTTACAAGTCTGAAAAGCATTTCTTTTTAAGGACGTTAACTTTTTTCCTTCTGAATTATTTCTGGTCTGCCTTTTTAAATTTCAGAACAACAGAAATGTGGTTCATGTCAGCTCAGTCAGGACATACCTAGAAAGCTTGATGGCATGCATATAAACTTGTGCAGATTAAAAATGCAGATTTCGTTTGTGCCAGTAATGATTCAAAGGTAGTGTAACGCTGAGGGCAACAAGGTGGTCTCATTTGGACAGCAAAATGTATGGCACTACTCTTAAGTAGTATCTCACATACTTTATTGATATGTCACACAAAGGCCACCCATGGTTTGTGGAGATTTTACATTCCTTCCTTCTGAAGGAATGTAAAATTCAGAGCACTAGCACAACAGCTAGAAATGGAACTGTTAGTAGCTGCTGAATATGACAACCGGGTGGAAGAGAGTGGCAAACAAACAATGCATTATCAAAGAGACCAGACAGGTGACAGGGAAGATAGTGACTGTTATCCTTTCTACCCCCATCTCTAACATGTTATGTTCATTGCAGGTCTTTGTAGCAAGGCTTGTTGTAGCTGCATAACATAGAGAAGAAAGAATTAATTTCAGAGGCACCGGAGTGACAGGAATTTAGTGAACATTGAAGGGTAAAAGGAAAATTGCCAATGTTATTCTGTGATCTCAAAGTAGTTGTCTTAGGGATTTGTTTTAAAAATAACAATAAAATTGCTTGGAGAACTGAGTGGACAAGTGCTGGGAGCAGGTGCCATCCTCAATTGGGGAGTTTTTCCATCTGATTTATGTGACAAATCCTATCTCTAACTAATGGAAACGTGGGAATGCTGTGCCAGTGATGCTAGTCTTGCTTGGGACCAGAAGCGGAGTACTGTGCTGCTAGCTGAAAATTGCTGCTTCTTGCTATGAGAATGTTGAAAGAACCAGGACAATTTTGCACCAGTCAGTCCATTGGTTTCCTTCTGATGAGATCATGCAGTTGAAAGTGCAAACACAATTATCTGAATACCAGTAACAATTAGGCCGCTGCTGGATTGTTTTACATAGACTCAGTTTACGGTACTCTTAACACTTATATTAACGTTAATACATGAACTATGTTGGTAATATACATTATGTGTGGAGAGGGATAATAGCTTAAGGTATAATGTAGTAAATGTGTGTCCTGGTTTGAGACAATGTGACATGGATTTTTTTGTATATAATATTTTCTGCACTACAGACTGTCCTCAGTGCTGTAAACGCTGTCTCTTGGTGCATTCTCTCAGGCTTTATTTACTAGTGTATTCTGTCTTTCCAGGTTACTTTCCTTCCTTGGGGTTCCCTTCGAAGGGCTCTCCTGTATCTCTCAACTCTGACACTTCTTCTCTTGCACCTAATTTCATAGGTAAATGATGTCCTTTCTGTGGGAGTGTTTGTGCTTTGCCACTTCTTCTGTGCCAAGTTCCCATTTAATATGGATATTTATCTCAAAGGTGTGGGTACCTGATTATTCAGGCAGAGGTGGGTGGGACACTTCCCAATCTGTTTGTAGGCAGCTCTCCAGAAACATAAATAGGATATGAAGAAATAATCCCAGTAGAAATCCCTTATGCCTGCAGATTCATAGATAAAACCTGACTTGTGACTAATGTTTTCTGAAGACTGATTTCAAAACCTGAATTGGCCCATTCAGGTTCTGTCAGGGAGAAGCCTTAGTTTAAAAGTATGCAGTCTCCCACTTGAGAGAGAACTCAAATGTGAGGTTTGAAATGATAGCATTGCAATGAAAAATCATCCCAAGTACCAGTAGGTTATTATTGGAAGTCATGAGATTTTTGTAACTTGTGCTTTCATGTAAGGGGAAAAAAGTTTTTAGCTTCCTTGGCTATAGCATAGAACCCAAATATATGTTAGGAATAATTATGATTTTGAAAGCTGTGGCTTGAAGAAGGAAATACTTTTGCGAAGCTAGCAATCAAGATGTAAGAATTAGAAACACTGCAAGAAATTGTACTGTATTTTTTCCTTCTTTCCAACTAGTGGTGTTTTGGAAGAGCTATTTCCAGCAGTGTCAATTTGTTTACAAGAGGAGGGAGTCAGAACTAGGCCAAGACTGTGTAGTTTTGGGGCTTTGAGTAAAATCACAGGCATTTGCTATTTTGCTGTAATCTACCTCCATTTTGAGGTCTGTGGTGAGTAAGACCAATATCTCAAAGGTGTTGAAGGGGAACTTCAGGATTCCCTAAGAGTAATGAATCTTACGATAATAAACCACTAGATATTCATACCTGTTCAAGGGAATTTTTTTCAGTGGCTATTTGAGCAGTCTGTGGTAATGGTTACAGAAGTATATTCGTGACAAGAACTAGAAAGAGAAGGCTTAAGAAGCTTTTTCTGAAGGAAGCATGTATTTGTCAAATTGTATGCCTGTTAAAGTTGTGGGGGGAAAAGTTAACTTAATGTATAAAAAAAAAAAAGACAAACAAACATGTGGGATCCCTCCAGGAATTGTATTAAATATGCTTTCAAAGAAAAAGATAACAATGCATCACAAAAGACGTTCAGAAATAGAAATACCACACAACATACAAATAGTTAGAGATCAGGAAATGCTTAGCCAGAGGAACAGTAAGATGAAGGTGCTGTAACAGTAGTTTAGAAAAGACAAGATTTAATGAGATGAAGGTGTATATAAATAGTAAGAAATGTTTCTGGAAATAATTAAGTGCTAAGTCTCAAAGCGAAGAACAGGAGGAGGTTTAGTAATAAAGAAAAAAACCCAAGAAACTAGTGGTTATTCATACCAGGTCTAGTTAATTCCTTGCTTGAATTTACATCCACACACTTACTGAGAATTACATGTAGCAGATAAGATAAAAATATATGAGTTGAAACCTCATGCTTTGGTGTATAAATTATACTGTAGAATTGAGAAATGGCTTCTCTTATTTCCTATTTCATAACGGTTCCTGACAGGAAGGTTTCAGAGTTCCTTCTAAACCTGTTACTCTGGTCACTGTCAGAGAAACGCAACAGTGTGTATGTGCTGCCGTGGGGCAGTTTACTCCATGTAGTCATCTGTATTTAATGATATCCCATACATGAAATATGTCCCCTTGTGGTTAGCAGGCATGGTCATATGGTTGTTCTAGTTATCAGCATTTTTAACATAATATTATTAAAATAGAAGTTTATATTCTCTTTTTTGGAAGTAGAAACTGCAGTTGGCCTCCTGATAATGTGTCCAGCATTGTGTGGTCTGAAAGTGTGAAGTCTTGTTTCTGAGGCAAATACGTGTAGGCTGTGACTGAACCAGCTCAGTCCGAAAGATGAGAAAGTATTCATGTTAGCCTCCAACCTTGAAAGGTTGGGAAGAACCGTCTGTGGTGGCCCCTATTATGTTATGTATCAAAGCAGTTAGCTGGATGTAATTCTTGAGAACTGAATCTACTCATATAACCTGTTTACCTTTCAAGAAGGGAAAACTGACCTGCAATGAACATTAAGTTCCATGTGAATACTCTCCTTGGTCTGGATACAACTAGTTGGACTTGGAGAGGGAAGAATTTAATACCTCACTGAGAAGATAACATTTTTTTTCTACATCAAAAGATGAAGTTGTCTTTTGAAAACCGTCCACAGTTCATATTTGGTACTTGGTCTGTGTGGAGATGGTGACTAGTGACACTGGCTAAAAATATTGGTGCTTTCAGTTTTGCTGCTTCTAATATAGTTGTATTAATGATTTGCTGCTTTTAGAGTATTGATACATCAGTTTGGCCATCGCTAAACTGTTTCTGCACTTTTTTTCTTTCCTCAATTTTTCATGGCAGTTGATTAAAGCCCTTCTTTCTGTGAGTAATTTGTGATTTAGATTTTTAATTTTTTTTCCCTTATGTCTATAGGTTCATTAAGAGCCCCTCCAACATCTGGAGCTCCCCCTCCAGCCTCTGGAGCATCTCTTCCTTCTGGCCACCTACCATACAGTCAGTTTGGACACGGAGATGTGCAGAATGGGATTCCAGCCTCAACAGCCCCGATGCAGAGGTACATAGAAAAAGAGTAAATCATAACAAAGGCCTGCCTTGGTAGACCTATGCTGTTCTAAAAGGTAGATCTTTTAGAATCTAAACCTAACTAAATACTTTGTTTTTCCTGTGGTGGACCTTGAGCCAGGGGTGTATTTGTTAGACATTAAGAATCTCTGGAGGTGAAAAGTTCTGGAAGGGTATGAGCAGATCTTGGTGACTGAGCAAAAACACTTCTCCTCCAAAGACTTTCTTTGTGGTAGTCATTTTTCCATAAGGAATTTTCTGATTCCCCAAATCAGTCTTGTTTTAAAACAATTGCATCTGCACAGCTGTAGTATTTGATTCCTTGGCAGTGCAGGGGGGTGTTGCTGTCTGTCATTACTGAGTAGTTCCTTAGTATTGGTTTTGGGTCCTTTTCTGTCTGTTGTGGATCACAGAATCACAGAATGGCCAGGGTTGGAAGGGACCTCTGGAGATCATCTCATCCAACCAACCCCCCCGCCAGAGCAGGGTCACCTACAGGTTGCACAGGACAGCGTCCAGGCAGGTTTTGAATGTCTCCAGAGTGGGAGACTCCACCACCTCTCTGGGCAGCCTGTGCCAGTGCTCCACTACCCTCAAAGTTATCCTCAAAGGATCCCTGAGTTATCTTCGCCTAAAGCTCTTGGGCATCTTCTCCAGAAAGATATTGCCTTTACCTCTGTGGTGAAAGTGGCAACAGTCCTCACTGCTTCATTCTGATTACTGGTTATGGGGGAAGGTGGTTGGTTTTTATTTCCTTCTGGTTAAGCTCAGCACTTTCAGCTGGAGAATCCAAATCCTTTGAGCAACAGAGCATTCTTACATAGCTGTGCAGGCCTGACTGTTGCTCACCCTGTAGACTCTGTTGCAGTGTTTCTGATTTGTTGTGGTAACTAAGATGGAATTAACAAAAAATGCTAAAATTTAGCATTTGTATTTTAAGAACTAACAGATTTTTTTGATGAAAGAATTCAAATCCATGCAGGGTATGTAATTATTTTTCCAAAACTGAGCTACAGTGCTTCGTGTAAATAATTGAGACCTAACTAGTGTTTGTGGTAGAAAAAATTTAAAAGGCACAGAGAGTTGTAACTGCTTGCGTAATGGGCAATCCAGTGAAGTTTCTCATCCTCCTTCTCAGGCCACCTGCTTCTCAGCCGTTTCTGCCAGGCTCAGCACCCACACCTGTCAGCCAGACATCTACGTTCCAGCAATATGGTCACCCCCCAGCCAGCGTACAGCAGCTCAGCAATCACATGGCAGGGATGACAATTGGCAGTACTACAGCATCTGCTCCTCCCCCAGCTGGACTGGGCTATGGTGAGGTTTCCTGGCTACAGAAATATGCTAATTCTTTTCGTCTGTGCTAGTAATTTCATAAAACATTTGCTCTTGTCAGTGATTCATTACTATGTTGTGATGGGAATTCTCTGGATGTTGACATCTGCCATACTAAGCAGTAGTTTCCTTGACTAGTAAGGTCATCACTGGGGAAAACAGAACTGAGTCTATTGTATGGGACAGTGTAGGACATGAGTAATAAAAGAGAGTAACAACTTTTCTCCTCAGTTAGGTGAATCTTGGTGTGAAACACAAAACCAATCTATCCCAAAGTAAGCTGTTGGAGTGTCTACATGCCTTGTTATGCAGCAGCCCAGTCAAAAAAAAAAAAAAAAAAAAAAAGAAGGAAAAAAGGCTCAGAAAATCACAAAGGCCTGAAATTCCTCTGAATGATTCTGTGAAAGGATTTGCTGAAAGTTGAGAAGAAACTTAAATACTATAAACTGAATTTAGATATTTTGTTCTATTGTATTAGATCTACACTCACACTGCTGTGGATTACAGGAGTTTTTTTAATTGAAGATTCGAAATTTGTCTTTGTGTAAGCTGGTCTGACTATGCTGTTTTGTTTCCTTTGTTTCGGTAAAGTACTTTTTGACAAGCATTTCGTACTCTAACGCAGACTTTATAGGACAATTAGCAGTAGGGGATGCATATTTATTCAGCCTTTTGGTAACGTGTAAATTATCCTCAGAAATAGTACAGTGGTAAGTACAGAAGATGCTAGTTCCATGCTATTAAAACCATGAAGCTTAAAACTGTTCTTGAACTACATGCTCCAACTTAGTGTGGAGTTTAAGATAAAAAACTTATTTCAGTTCAAGAAATCAGTAGATGGACTTGTGGTGGTTCTTGTTTTGCATACTCTTGGCTTTGCCTCTTTTCTCTGGTCCTGAATCATGAAATGTGTTCTGATTATGTAAAAGAAGCAGCTCAGACTCTGAGAGGACAATGAAGGAACTATCAAGTTTCAGATCCCTTGAAGAAGTTTCAGCTCTGATAAATTTAGGATGGTGTTCAATTAAGGTTTGTCTCTATTAGTAATGGCAAGTCCATCTGAAGATGAGGAAGTTGTAGGCCTATTTAGATGATCTAGAACAAATGGGTTTTACTTGCATCTTCACTGTCTTCAGGATAGAAGAAAATGATATCTTCTCTTCTTCTTACCAGGTCCCCCAACATCGGTTCCCCCAGTCTCAGGAAGCTTTAGTGCAACAGGATCTGGTCTCTACACACCTTACACTGCGAGCCAAGGACCCCCTCCTACCAGTGTGTCTCAGGGTCTTCCTTTGGCACAGCCTCCGTATCCTGGTCAACCAATATCAACTCAGCGCCTACCTACTCAAGTCCCTGGTTTTGCCCCACCTCCCTCTTCTGCAGGGATTGGACCTTCCTCTTACCCTCCTACCACAGGTGCCCCAAGGCCACCTACCATGCCAGGTCCACCACTGCCTGGGCAGACAGTTGCTGGACCACCAGTCTCCCAGCCCAATCACGTATCTTCACCACCACCTCCGTCAACTATGTCAGGGCCACACCCTGGGCCTCCCATGAGTGGCCTCCATGGACCACCACCTCCTCCCACTCATCCTCCTCAGCCAGGATACCAAATGCAGCAGAACGGTGAGTGTTCCTACTATAGGAATTGTAAGTTACGTGTCTTCTCTGTGCTGCAAACTGAGAACTGGATTTCAGGTTTGTAACTTGCAGGCTCCTGGCTGCACTTCAAAGCTTCCTCCTTGTTTCTCTGTGCTCATGTCTGAAGGATAAATCAAAGATAAACAATCGGATGTGTCATCCTAAGATATTTGTCATACAGGTTTTAGTCAGACTAATGTAACTAAAGGGATCCTAGCTTACTTGGCCAAAAAGTCATTTAATAATTAGTGCCATAATACTACAAGAATTTGTGATCAAAGTTTTATTATGAACTTTAATTTGATGTCGGCAATCTCATCTGTTCAAAAGTAGAGATTTGAAAACCTGAAAAGCCTGGTTTTAAGGAGGACTGTGTCAATCAGTTTATTGGATCGATAGAGATGTACAGGTGTAAGCTGACACACTGTGATAAATGTTTAATCCTAATGAACTGAAAAGCATGAGACTCTTTTTCTTGTTTTTTGATGATGACAGAAAAAGTGGGAAGTGCCTAATGAGAAAACACCTAGTATTAGCCATTGTTTGATTTTTGCTGTCCCTTTTTCAAAAGGTTCCTTTGGGCAGGTGAGAGGTCCCCAGCCAAACTATGGAGGAGCCTATCCAGGAACACCAAATTATGGAAGTCAACCTGGACCACCACCTCCACCAAAACGCTTGGATCCAGATTCCATTCCTAGCCCTGTAAGCTTACTCTGTTCTTACCAGTGTGAACTCTTCCATAGTGTCTTTACATAAAACAGAACTGACAAAGGCGAAAGCTGAAAACAGGTTTCTCATTACAAAGAACATCAGTCTGTTTTCCTGCTTACTTTCCTCTTGTATATCCAGCTTCACTCTTTTGTTATGAAGCAGTATTTTTCTTGGTGACTAAAGAAAGCCACTGCATATGCAAATCAATGCTCTAATTCCTCAGTTTTTTTTCTGTACTATGTTACATTTTGAGAATCCTTGAGGGCTTTGGTTAAGCTTGTTTCTCACATTTCTGGATTCTTGCTTAATGACTTTCCAAGGTGAACCGATTTCAGTTTTTGAGGTGACAATCTATGAACTGCATGATCCAAGTTTAAAGTATGGTTAATAGGAGATGATTGCGGTGCTTTTGCTTTCACTTTTCTTATAATCTGTCCAAAAGCTTGTTGGCATTTTGGGGGGGTTATTAGGTCAGGACACTACTTCAGTCAAATATGGACAACTTTTCAAATTGGGATTATCTTTCAGAATGGAGGTTCTGAGAAAGGTTGAGCAGTGATGTTGTAATGGTTAGCAACGATGAGTAATATTAAGCCTGGCAGTATTATTGCCACTAGTCTACTGTGCTCTTCCTTCCACTGATGCTGATGCTGTTCTGTTATTGTCTCAGAAGGCCGCAGTTATTTGATAACAGGAAACCCTTCCAGGGCAGTGCTTACAATCAGTTTACTTCAAAACTATAAAAATTATTTAGTTTTGAGTTCCATTGTACAGCTGGACTGGTGCTGTTCAGAAGATACTGCTATTCAAAAAAATTATCTGTTTGGACTCCAAGTTTATGTAAAGTTTATGACCATATTTTTTTCATAGGTTATAAGAAGTCTTTAATTGCTTCTCTGCTTCTCTTTTCTTCCACTAAATGAGATCTCAAATGGCTTGTGTCAGTTGCCTTAATTTTAGCATGTTCTTAAAGCATAAATCCCCAATTTCTAACCAAGATGAGCACGCGAGCCACTACCTCTGTTAGTGATGTGTTCAGAGCCCAAGCCCAATATCTTGGCAAGACTGGTTTTCAGATGGGTGTGTGCTGCAGAAGCTGATGTTTCCTGTTGCATGAACCAATGTCCAAATGTATCTAATTCCAGCAGGTTTGGGTAGAGAGAAGTAACACTGTTACTTTTTGGTTTATTATTCTCTTTTCTTTTTTTTCTTTTTCTTTTTCTTTCTTTTTTTTTTTTGTGGCACTCTTACGTTTGATTTTTTTTAAAAAAAAGCAACTTAATGAGCTGCCACCCCAGCAGAAACCCAGGCACAGAATAGACCCAGATGCAATTCCTAGTCCAGTAAGTGCTATATATATGTCAATTGTAGTCTGTGTGTTGGTGACCATCTGTGCATGCCTGAAACCTGAACTTCACCTCACTAACCCTCCATCATTAATCCTTTACCCTTTCCTTGCTGTCTTCTGCTTGCCTTATCAAAATGAGTAACATTACACAGCAAGAGGTTGTTAAAATCTTCACTTCTCTGATGAATGGTGAGGCAATAGAAAGCAGACTGTTTCAGAAACAGATCATGAAGAATGTCTCCCCTTCACTTTGTCTGATCTTTAAAATACCTCCCTCATCAGATTCCAACTGGCATTTTCAGTGTAAACTGTCAGTATAATTGTCCATGTAATGTGTTTCTTGTGTTAACATATGCACAGCATGAGCCTTTGTAGCCATGTTTTCTACCAGTTTTGAGCAGAATTTGCTTACTGTTCTATTTGATATACCAGTACTGGGCTAATGCTTTGAAGTTCTAAAATTGCAGGTGAACTGTTTTGTTTTGATGTTAATTCCTGATAGGAATCTTCTAGTAGATTAATATGAGGCATGGGGAGCTATAAACATTCTTTCATCATCTGTACTCATACATAACCATTAAATTTTGAATTTGAAAATTTAATGTTTATGTAGAGAATCTTACCTAAAGAAAGAAAAAAGCAGCTACCTTTTGGATTGGAAGAAAAAAAACACATTTGACTTTGTTACCCTCGTATCACTTCTTCCTCATTTAGCCAAAGTTGTTCATGTAACAGAAACCAGTGGTGAGAACACCAATGTCAGTCAATCTGTAGACTTTTGAAATGGGCCTAGAGTAGGCACTGTCTGATGCTGTGGGAGGCTTTCTGCTCATGACTTGGAATCCTTGGTGACAGGATAGAAGTTCTGCCATGCAAATTTCTGCATTTCACAATTTGCTCTAAGCAAAGGCACGTGTGTTTGGTGGCAAAATAAGATCAGAAGAATGCTTGCTATCTTTAATGCTTTCATTCAGGCACCAGTATGGAAATGTAGTCAAAAGTGTGTGTAACTACAATTTCCTGTTCTTGTGCAAAGATCAGTGGCTATTTTAGTCAAGTAAAACTGTTTAATGCATTTCCGTTATCCATATTTGCATTAATGAACAATCAGCAATACTAAGAAATTAAAGATTTTTACCAGCTTTGTGAAGTTTAAGCTTGACTCATTGACAAGTCTATTGAAACTTCACTTTCCACATCCCCAGAATTCAAATCACAAACTCATAAGCACCACGAAGTAATGAAGGCTTCCACCTGAGCTTGCAAGCATCTGTCTTTAGCTCAGAGTTACAGTGGTTAGAAATAAATGCATACTATGAAAACAGTGGGAACGTAACAGAAAGGAAAAGCCAGGTTATAGAACTTCACACAGAGGCTTACAGAAGCTTCTAATTTTACTGGCTAGGACCAGTATGCAGGGGAATACTACCAAAAATTCCTTTCTTAATCTGTGTTTGGCTTTGTGAGTTCAGATCAGTCCTTAAAACACAAAATATGCTACTACTCAAAATACTTGGGGGGGGGAAATACTATTTGCAACTTGTAATTTATTTTTAGTTGTTAAGTACTATTCAAAATCAAACTGAGAGGTGACTGCTTGACAAAACCTATTTGCTTTAGACTTCTTATTTTTAGAGATAGTGATGTTTGCCTCAGGTCCCCTTTTCACTGCCTTAAAGATACAAATTTTGTATTTTACAGTACTTTGAAACCAAGCCTTCAAATACTAATGTGGTGTTTTCCATCACAGATTCAAGTGATTGAAGATGACAGAAGTAACCGTGGGTCAGAACCATTTGTCACTGGAGTGAGAGGGCAGGTCCCACCTCTTGTTACTACAAATTTCTTGGTCAAGGATCAAGGTACAATATTTTTCTTTTCCTAAATAAACAAACAAAACACCCCAAAGAGTCAGTGACAGAACTGTCTGTGTCTTTAGAGGAAAAGTTTGAGTAATGATTTCAGTGGCTGGGGATGTGTGTTTTACCAACAGAAGCTTAGTTTCAAGTCCTGTGTTGATTTGATCTCAGTGTAGATTTTCCTGATTGCTTGATAGCTAGTAACCAATTTGCAAGGAAAAAATGTTTTCCGGGGCAGGTACCTGGAACCACCATTAGCAGGGATATCAGAAAGCAGCAAATGAAGCCTCTTCTATCGAGCTATATCAATGACAGTTAAGAACTGAAATTTACTAGCAATATCATTTGAATTGAACTGGGAACTGTATTTTTTAAATCATGAGTGGGATGTCAGTTGGTCCTTGGGCTTCATAAAGAAAGGATATTTTGTCTTGTAATTTCCCGTGCTTTATTGGAGATTTTAAGCTCCCTTAAAACTTCAGAATCTGATTCTGCAATCAAGTGCTTTACTCTTCAGCCAAAATTACAAAATAAAACAGTAGAAATGTTTGAGATGAGTTTTCTGCCTATAGTGTGTTTTAACCTTCAAAAAGAGTGAAATAGAAAGGCCTTTTTAGAGGTTTAAGTTGATGCAGAGTCAAGTTCATTTGTTTTTCGTTAAGGGCTTTTATTATACGTGGTTAATCATGAAGAGGTATTTTGTTAAGAATTTAAGTTTTGCTTAGATTGACATTGATTGGTTAGATAAGCCCTTAGTCTCTGTGGTTTAACAACACAACTGAAGGTAACCTTTATTTCTGTTCTTGAATATGAACTTAACTTGTACCAAAATTTATGGGGATTTTTTTCTTCGTTTCCCAGGTAACGCAAGCCCCCGCTACATAAGATGTACATCTTACAATATTCCCTGCACCTCAGATATGGCCAAACAGTCCCAAGTTCCCCTAGCTGCTGTCATAAAACCACTGGCTACTCTACCCCCAGAGGAGGTGAGAACTGCATGCAGAGTTACATATGCAGTGTATGCGCTCTGAACTTGTCAGGAGAATGCTATTAGATGTCAACATTTAACAGATATGTTGAGAAGGAATGTTTAGGTAATGAAGACTAGGTAAACATTAGTTCTGCCACAAGTATGCGGTAGAGATCTGTAAGGCAGAAGAATGCTGTGTTCAAAACAGTCAGTATTTTGATCGCCATGATAATTTCAGCATTTTTTGCGGTAACTGTCAAACACTATGACCAAATGACCAAAATACTGGGATGGTCGCAAATGCATACACTTCCAGTTGATCTCAATTTCTTTCTTGGCCTAAAGTATTTACATGGTTGTTAATCACTGATGTTAAGTCTTTTCAAGGATGTCAGGTTGTGGAATTGCATGAGAATGTATCAAGCAGTACTGGTTAAGCTGTCTAATGTGCGTGTGCGTGCACAGCACTGTGTAAGATGGCAGCACAAGACTGAGTACTGGGCACTGCTGAGCTACACTTTTATTTCTGCCCTTGTTCTGTGCAGCGTTTATTTCCTTCTAGGTGTAATGTGCGGCTAGCTAGCCTTTTACCAGCTCTGGTTGCTGAGAACGTGAAAGCTTTGAGAATATGACAGAGCTAGGAATTTTATAAAATATTCTAAATATTCTGGCTACTGTGTAGTGTTAGCCTGCTTGGAGCAGTGATGTAAAGACAAATATGCTTGTTAAATTTGAATACATATGTTTGCAGTATTCTGTTCCCTGTGTTTAACTTTACCGTCTGCTGAGGAAAGGAATATCCTCTGGGCTTTGAAGTTTTTTGTTGTTTTTTTTTTTTTTATTGTGTGTCATTAATGTTCCTGAACTATGGTTTGGATTTTGAAAATTGGTGTTTGATAAAACTGAGTTGTGAAGTTAATTCCTGTATTGCTGTATTGTGCTTAGAGTTTAAAAGGAGCACAACAGGGGAATGTGGTCTTATTTGAGAAACCTGGAAGCTTGTGGAGCTGCACGTTTTCAGAGAAGCTTTAAAAACAACTAGTTGCTAGGTCTCCTGGAGTGCTTATGCTTTGAACAAATGCTTATGATATCCAGAAAAAACACAGCTAAGCTTGGAAAATTGCCCTGGAGACTGCTCAGCTTCTAGTATTGGAAAATTCTTTATGGCAAAGGCAAATTGCCTGTGGAGGGGCCGTTACAACAGATGAAGGCTCAGCTGTTCAGAGCGATAAAACTGTAAATAGAGCTAAAGTTTAACGCATCAGTAATGAGAAGATGAATGTCTCATGAAAATACAGCATTCAGATAAACCTAGAATATATAAAAATTCGGCACCTGATTGCCAGACACAGGAACTTTGCCCTATGTTAATACACAGCTCGGAAAGCAGAATTTGAGGCATCAGAACGAAGTATCTCTGTGCCTTCTGGGAGTAAGTGGTTAGTGACAGGTTTTGCGTAGCACTGCATGTTTGCAGCACTTTTGTAGTTTGTTTGCCTGTGTGTTTACTGGGGGAGAGGCTGAGGAAAAAAGCTTGTTGTTTGGAAGTACAATGCCAACATTGCCTGGCAGTCAGAAAACTTGAAGTTTTGTTGCCTCAGAGGTAGTCAACCTGGGTAGTAGGAGCTGAGAAACACTGGATGCAAAACCATTATGTTGTCAGTAAGTGATTAGTGGTTTTGAATGAGACCTGTGGCACGTCTGTGGCATGAAGAGGAAGAAAGTGGCTGGAGCATTTGCTCGACTCCTGCTCAAGAAATATGTTGTCTCTTAGACATGATCAGAAGTTTAGGGTGACTGAGAGAATTAAGACTGGACACCTTTAGTGTCAGAAAATTTAGAAGTGAGTAGTTAAACTTTCTTTTGAGCCAGATTCTTAGTTATGAAAGGTGCTTCGAACTGCGAATGCAGCTTGTAGCTTGTACAAGTTCTGTCTTAATAATTTTAAAGTGTTTCCTGCTCATTCTGAGGCTGAGAAGCTAGAGACATTGCCGTGCATCATATTCTGGTTTGGCTGCAAAAATAAAATATTATCAGTTATAGTTCAAAAATGGTGTTACTACATAAGTTTTGAGGACTTGCTATACAATCGGGTCAAGACAAGCAGAACTTACGGATATACTGTTTCATGGTGAACTTGAAAAATAAGACTTCAGCTAAAATTATTTAAAATGGTCTGGATGCTGCATGTTCTGGAATGTATGGAATACAATGACTGGCTTCTATTTTGTCAAAAAGCTTGCTTTTTATAAGAAAAAATAGAAGAGGTGAAGAATTGCTTTTAAAACACCCAACCTGTGGTGAAATTTAAATTGTATGCTCACTCCCATGGGGTTATCACAGCCGTTCTTTGCATGGCTTCAGTCTTACATGTTCACTTGGGGTACATCTGTGCTGTGCGGTGTGGTACTCCTGCTATAGTTCATGCTCCTCAAGCAGGCTACTATATAAAGTAGTGCAGCACCATGCAGAAATACTTGTTTGTGTCTAAAGCGGGATAACCCATTAAGGACTGCAGCCTACAGAGAAATGCTGTGCTAGAGCTTGAGTTGCGAAGCATTTACAAAATACTAACTCAGGCTTCCCCTACCCACTGCTCTGTTTCCCACAGCTGCCAATCCTATGCAACGTACAGGGAGATAGTTTTAAGCTCTGTGATATGTGTGGTCACTCCTTCCTCATCATCATGTGACCTTTCTTTTCTTTTTTCCTCTGCTTTCACAGACCCTTCCTTATTTGGTAGACCATGGAGAATCTGGTCCTGTCCGATGTAATAGGTGCAAGGCTTACATGTGCCCTTTTATGCAATTCATTGAGGGTGGAAGGAGGTTCCAGTGTTGTTTCTGCAGCTGTGTCACGGAGGGTAAGGTTTCTTCTGGAAATTGGTCTCTAGGCTCAATTGGAGTCACCTTCGAACAAGATGCAAGCAAATAAATCTTTACCACGTTATGATCATTTATAATGTATACTCTCCTTTAGTGTGTGTTTAGTCTTGTAAAAAATTCATTCTAAAACTTGTTCAGTGCTCAGTTCTGATATTAGGTTCAAATTAGTTGTTTATGCATTGCAGTATTATTGCACCAAATTTTTAACATGAGGTACTTGTAGCATAATGTATGGTGGTTTGAAAAATTATCTATGCTATTTTCTAAGGGTATTTCAAACTGACATTTTTCTGTGACAGACTGTGATGTACATCTAGTCAGTAGCATGAGTTAGGATTTTTTTTGCTCACAAAGCCTGTTTAAACACTGCTTAGAGATGAGATTGTAGCTAAAGCTGCTACAGCTGCATAGGAGTGTTCAATATATGCCAGTTAATCTTAGTTGCTCTTCTAATTTAATATACAACATGCTTCCTTTTAAGCAGAAGTCACTATGTGCTGCTCATAGCACGGCATCCCTAGATTTGTTTTGAAGGCACAGTGGAATGTAAGGTACAACAAACCTTATGGTGATGTTTCGAGTGTTTCATTTGGTAGCACTGGTGGCTTTTAATGGACTGTTTGTTCTTATCACCTCAGTTATGCTGTATGACTGTTTGTACAAACCAGAATGGGAAGCTGATGGGGGTTAGAAGTGATGGGGGGTTAGAAATTTAAAAAAAAAAAATTGTCTGGTGATTTTCAGCCTGCATGCATTCCCTGTCCCTGCTCACTCAGCAGCTGTATGAATGGCCGTACCTGTAACAAATCAGCAGGGACAGAAAAGAGAGGGATGCTCAGAGAGTGCTGATGAAAGCAATGCTGTGAAAATACAATGTAGTTTTACCTAATACTTGCACACAATTTCTATTTTCTCTGCAAAAACAATTGGGTAATTAGCTTGTACTGGATGCGTACTTGAAAAGGAGAAGAGTGATAGGTGCTTTTTTATATATATATATATATATAGTCTTAATGATACCACTTTGTTTTCTTTTGAAAACTGTTTAAACTTTGAATGTTTTTAGAATAATTTAAAGGTGCTGCATACTACCATTACAGATAATCTCGTTTTATTCTCCCCTGGGGCATATATGCAGCTATAGCTGGAATACGTTTTGTCACCCTTGCAATTCTGCAGGAGGGACTCTGTCATGGTAGCTCTTGAGGCCCGAGGGAAATGCTTTCTTTGTTTCTGCAGCTGATTTCTGTAGGTGAAAACTTAACTCGTATTTTATCTTCTGATGCCTGGTACCAGCACAGAAGTACTGAGCACTGGGCATGGGGTTACACTTTCGGTTTCTCTTTCTTAATGCTTTACAATCCACTGTAAGAAGTACCCTGTCTATTCTGACGAAAGGATTATGGCAGTCTGCAGCTGAGAGTGCTTAGAAGGCTTTACTCTTGTGCAGCATGGGAAAGGAAGGGAAGGGAAGGAAAAAGCTAACTCGTACAGCAAAATAAGGAGCTCAGTCTTTTGGTGAGCCTGAATTGAGTCAGTAGTGTTGTAGCCTCTAGTTTGCCTCAAACTCTGTTGTAAGTCATTTGTTACTACTTGTATAAGATTGTTATATCCTAAGAGCATGTTGTTGTGACATTTCTAATATGAAATATAAAATAATTATGTAAAGGAGATTCAGGAAAAGTACAGTAGTGACTATACAGTGTGCCACTTGGTGTGTAAAACAAGCTGGAAGCAGTTTGCCTGTATTTCTTGGCTTAAGAATGTTTGTCATGGATGTGTCACTGAACTGGATGGTTTTTCTTTCCCCAGTGCCACCTCATTACTTCCAGCATTTGGATCATACCGGGAAGCGAGTAGACTTCTATGATCGACCTGAGTTATCACTGGGGTCTTACGAGTTTCTAGCAACAGTTGACTATTGCAAGGTATGTGTAGTGCAAGTAGTTTGTGTTTATTTCTGTATTTTGTTTTGGTTTTGAATAAAAAGCCTATTTTCCTAAAAGTAAGGATGACTTGAATTGTCTGGGACTGCTTTCTAGCTGGTAGAGACCATTAACAGCATTAATCGAACCCACTTCATTTTGTAAAATAATGTGCTTGCTTCCCAAAGTAGAGGAAGTCTTGATCACACGTGACTCTTGCAGTAGTCCTTGGGGCAGAAAGAGAATGTAGGAGAGATTCAAGAAAAGTAGAATAGTAACTATGCAATGTGCCACCTGTCACTTAAGGCAAACTCTACCTATTTAGCTTAACTTTTAAACATGGCCATAGTGGTTAAAACCACAAGAATAGTGTCGAAATATATATATTGTCAGAGCTGGTTTGCTTTTAAATTAAAGATTTAAAGGATAATTAACTTCTAAGGAATAGGAAAAATATGTGCAAGGTGTTTATTAAAGCGACTTAGATCTCTGCTGATATAAATGCTGGGAAAAGAGTTCTTGTGTTTTGCTTCTGTTCTGTGTGCTCCTTCCGATATGCCCTGTAGACTTCAGGAAACTGTTGACTGAAACAAGTTTTTCTTTGCCAAAGCAAATTTCATATTTAAGTAGACAGGAAAGGCTGCAGTTCTTGAAGAGGAAAATCTTTTGCTTTATATTGATGAAATCACCTATAACAAGTCTGGTCAGATTCCAAAGTCTTGCGAACCAGCAGGAAACTTCCCTGTCTACTTCCCTATCTGGCCTAGTCATGTAAATGGATGTTTAATTGTGACTAGCCTGTTCTTCACTGAGCAATGGCAAAATCAGTCAAGGGCATGTAATACCAGTCCATTTCAAGCAGAGCGTGCTTACATGTCTGTTAGTTGGGCAGGGGTGGGAGAATGATCTGAAGAAACAATTACTGCTCATGGATAGAAAAGTACATGAAAGTACATTTGACCAGCATTCATTTGTCCATGTTACAGAGCTCTTATGTGGGCTGCATTACATGGCCATAATGTGACTTCTTCCCTCTCTTCCACAGAATAACAAGTTTCCCAGTCCACCTGCTTTCATTTTCATGATTGATGTGTCTTACAATGCTATGAAGAGTGGCTTAGTGAGGCTAATATGTGAAGAATTAAAGTCACTCCTAGATTACCTGCCCAGGTAGGTATATTGTATACTACTGTAGCCAGTCAAAAGGAAGGAAACTGTTACTTTTTGCCTTTAAAAAAATCTAGAAATAAAAAAAAAAAAATACTTGATAATCCTATCAAGCTTTTCTTCAGAAAATGGCCAAGCGGAACATCTTTCTGGATGCCTTTCTAGGTGAAAAGAAATTTTTCTTCTTAGCATTTTTCCCTTATCTTTTATTGTGGTGGGTTCTGTGATAGATTTCACTATCTACTTAGATGTGAAAGGAAGTATGTCTCCTCTTACAGGGAAGGCAACATGGAAGAATCAGCCATTCGAGTAGGCTTTGTCACCTACAACAAGGTATTACACTTCTATAACGTGAAGAGCTCACTGGCACAGCCACAAATGATGGTTGTCTCAGATGTGGCAGATATGTTTGTGCCACTCCTTGATGGTTTTCTGGTGAACGTGAATGAGTCCAGGACAGTTATTGCCAGGTAATAGAAATTGTTTTACAATGTTGGTAGTAAACTTCTTGTTTGGTAGACTCAAGTGTTGCATTTAAAGGTGTTACGTTCACTGCTTATTTGTCATGTTATTCACCTAGAAGTCACTCCATGTATTTTAACTTTCTATACTCTTTTGAGATTAAGCTGACAAAGTAGAATGGAAAAATTAATGGGGTAAGGGTGTATTTGGCTCATAGCCCAGCTTGGCAGAGGGTATATATGAGGGGATTTAGTGCACAAGGGCATTTCGGGGTGGGGGGGAGACAACTAGAATGGTGCGAAGTGAAAGTCATAATAATACTGAATCACTGTCTATAAGGCAACTGCCTAAATAGCTGTAAACTGAGACAACAATGGTGTCTAATTTTGGTTCTGTGGAGAAAATTGAATGAGTGGGATAGAGAAGATAAAATCTAGAAGGAAAGAAAGAGAAATTAGCAAAGTTTTGGCAAAATATTTAACATGATACTTGAAGTGTAATTAAACTTTCATGTATAGCTAACCATGCTTTGGGAACTAGATGTGTCATGGCATGTTTTTAAAGAAAATTTCAAGCTTGTTTTGTAGTGCATTAACAAGCATAAATGCAAAACTGTGGATTAAACCTATTAATCTTTGAATAGTACACAGAATGCTTGGCAAACAGAAGCCAAGTGTAACTAGTCTTTCCTAAGAGTTTACTTAGCAATATATATTGGAATATATTAAAAGAGCAGGAATACAGAAGGGCTATTGGAGTAGGCATCAGTTGAGGCTATACAGCAAGCACTGAGGATATGGATGAGCAAAGCCAATGAAGAATGACAAAGCATTATTTTTTTTTCTCAGATAAACAATGAGATGCCAAGTACTGTAAAAATAGTGCAAATTCACAGGCATGTTAAGGACTTTTGTTTAAACCGCCTCAGTCTCGTACGTCCTCAGCTGCAACTGTGTGGCTTTTCCAATTAAATGGAATCTTGAATTCCTCCTTTTTCTTGTTCTTTGCTAGTTTGCTGGACCAGATTCCAGAAATGTTTGCAGACACAAGAGAAACAGAAACTGTTTTTGCACCTGTGATTCAAGCAGGGTTGGAGGCGCTGAAGGTTAGTAAACGCATGTCATGGCAAATTGTTTTCTGTCCAAGTACTCTGAAGTTCATGTTCTGCTAACATGCTCTAATAAGACAATTCTAAAGTTTTTCATAAGTTTCCTTGTGGTAGATGTGCTACATGTAGGGATAACTTGGCTCATTCTTCAAGTGCATGTATCTCCAGTTCTATGTAGCTATCTATTTGTTCTCTACCCAAATTTATTTAGTAATTTTTGCTCAAAGTACAAGACATGTGGCTTAATCTCAGTTACCTGGCTTGGTTTTGCTTTGAATAGTTTACAGACACCCGCCCCACACACACAAAAAAAGTCTCCAACATTAAAACCAGGTGCTGAAGTCTGCCGTGTCTCATTGAGGAGTTGTGTAGCATGGTGTCTTTCTAATCCTGTGCTTCAAGCTCTGGTATAATCTTAAGTAAAAGGAGAGAATGCAGTCTGTTGAAGTTGTCCACACTAATGTGCCAACCATGTAACCCTTTCCTAAAGTTCTTCCATTCCAGTACTTCATCCAGATACTTACATGCATGATCTCACTCCAACTTGTATATGCTGACTGAATTGATTGCCTGTATGATTCTGTCAAAAACTGTTCATGTAGCACTATTTCTCTGTCATGTAGGTCCTTAGAAGTCTGTCTTAAACTCAGTTATCATGACAATTGCTCAATCAAGAAATAATATAGCTTGCTAATTGATTGTTTACATACTGCACGTGTCAGAGAAAATAACCTACTAAACATTGGCTGGTGTTGATGTAGGTTACTGATTTAAAATTAATGATCTATTGAAGCTCAGGTTACAAAATCCTTTGCCATTTCTGTGACTCTAGAACCTCAGTAGCTGCAAATCAGAGAAGAAAGCAATCTAACACGTTTGTGCAAAACACTTTGTAGCTGAGTCCTGCTTACTGCTCTGTCTCCTTGGAGCCAGTCCTTTTCTCCCTGCCATGGAACTAGCACAGGTCCAGTAGAACTGAAGTTTGCTTTTCTGTAGCTGACCAGTAAGCTGTGCTCCATGTGTTGGATACCACCAAAGTAACCAAGTGATCGCTGAGCCTGTGTGTCTGATAGAGTGCCTTCCTGACGTAAACCAATGAAGTAATGAGGATGCTTGAATGTTTGTTCTTGAATCGCAGTCTTCCTTACAATTTTTATAAATGTTTCTAACCTGTGCTATTGCACTTGCTTACCTGCAGGCAGCTGAGTGTGCTGGCAAGCTCTTCATTTTCCACACCTCTCTGCCTGTCGCAGAGGCCCCAGGGAAGTTAAAGAACAGGGATGATAAGAAACTGATCAACACAGATAAGGAGAAGGTAATAATGACTTGCATGTTGCTACCATTACAGGTCTATATTATATTCTGTATGGGATAAAATAGCTCTGAAGCAACACTAAAAAAATTACAACGGTAGCATGTAATGTAACCATCCCAGGTAGTATCTTAACATTGCACTTTTATCTTCTGTTCTCAAGCAGGGCTGTGTAGATTTGACATCATAAGGACAGCTCTGGTACGAAAACAAGAAGAGATAGGTCTTCTTGAAACTATAGATTCTTATAGAGGATAAAATACCATGGCTGGATTAAAGTAGATGTGCGGAACTTACAATTAAAGCAAGATGTGTAGTAATTTTCATAATATTTCACAGCTCTTTAAAGGTGGGTCGGGAGGAATTTGTATGATCCTAATTTCCCTGAAGAGAGAATTAAAGTATAAAAGTGTATTGACTGGGATTATAAACTGGATCTCACGTTCCTTTTCTTACTACAAACTTCTGATCTTATCTCTGACTTCCTTTCTTAGACTTTGTTTCAACCACAGACAAGCTTTTACAATAACTTGGCCAAGGACTGTGTGGCGCAGGGCTGCTGTGTGGATCTGTTCCTATTTCCAAACCAGTATTTGGATGTGGCAACACTAGGTGTAGTAACTTACCAGACGGGAGGCTCCATTTATAAGTATGCATATTTCCAGGTAAGTGTGACATTGACGCAGACTGGTATTTGATCTAAATAGGAATTATTGTTTAGTTAAGGGTTCTTTTTCATAGTGTGAATCGTAAGTACTTTGGAAACAAATTGCTAGTTAAATTTCAAGATTTTCACCAAAATAATTTTGTTAGCTTTATATCTTTACACAAGATATCTCTATTAATAACAAAAAAACCAAGAAAGGCTGTGCTGTTACATTTTAGCACAATATTTTATTAGCGGGGCACTCAGTGCTATGTGATGGCTGATTTTTAGAGTAAGACTGCAGGAGGTAGTATCTGTTTTAAAATTACTTTATGGTTTATGGAGCAGCTCTGATTTATGGGAGTATGAAACTTGAATTATTGCTTGTGTTCTAGCTGGAGACGGATCAGGATAGGTTCCTGAATGACTTGAGAAGAGATGTCCAGAAAGAAGTGGGATTTGATGCTGTAATGAGAGTGCGCACAAGCACAGGTGGGTGTTAGCATGAATGAGTCTTAATAAATTGACCGCTTCAAGCACATCATATGGGAAGTAACAGATTTTTTCCTAATTTAAAGCATCTTGAGACTAGACTATGCAAAAAGCTCTGTTAAAGCTTCGAAATTCTAAGACTTTTGTCAAGACTGAGCAAAGATCCCTGCTGAAATCCGTCAAGATAACTTAGTGTCACTGATGACAGGATTTTCAGGGCTCTAAAGTGTTGTTATTCTGTTGAAAATTGTGGTTCATGTTGGAGTTTTTTCTTTTTTAGGTATTCGAGCAACTGACTTTTTTGGAGCTTTCTATATGAGCAACACAACTGATGTAGAGATGGCAGGCTTAGACTGTGACAAGACAATCACAGTGGAGTTCAAGCACGATGATAAACTGAGTGAAGACAGTGGTGCGCTCCTTCAGGTGAGGGGGGAGGCTTTCTAGGAGAAATGAGCGGACAATTTAGAATTGTCAACAAAACTCAGTCAAGGCAGAACCAAACCTCAACTGGAGAGAGTGCCAGTTGCAGAAGAGGATGAGGTTGCTCTGAACTGAATTATTAGACACTCCTTCAAGGAACTGTTTGTTCTTTCTTTCTGCCCCTTACTTTACCCTTAACCTTTCAGCATACCTATTCTCAGGGTGAGCTCGACTGTTCATTTTCGACAATCCATTTTCCAAGACCTGTTCCCTTAATACAAACGGCTAACATTGCTGCTTGTTATCTTTCCTTGACCCTGATTCTTAGCATATGCTTTTAGTTTATTGTGCAAGTCTTTGACATAATTATCTTATTTGTTTAGGCATCTGAGTCTGAGTTTTTAATGAAATATATTCAAACCCTACATTTCTTATTGTAGCAGGACCTCATTTTTCTATATACTGGCATTTTTGTCTCCTACAGTGTGCTCTGTTGTATACAAGTTGCGCAGGACAGCGACGACTCCGCATTCACAACCTTTCCCTAAACTGTTGCACACAGCTTGCTGACCTGTATCGAAACTGTGAGACAGACACGCTCATTAATTACTTGGCTAAATATGGTAAGAAGAATTGCAACTTTTAACTTCTGTTAAAATACCTGTTGTCATCCAATTACACTTGTTTATTCTCTTTGCATCAAATATCAGGTGGCAATCCTGATACTTCAGTCATTTATGGGAAAGAGCATAAAGCAGTGTTGATAGTATTGTCAGAACGAGAGGTACAGATAGAACGTGTGGGCTTATCCTTCATACAAATTCTTGTCTATTTTTTTCTAAGAAGGGTTTGTATTGACAGCTGTCTAAATTCATCCTTGTATTTATTTTTAGACTGGTTTTAATTCTTTCTTTAACTGTTCTAGAATTTTGCTCCAAGAATAGGTGGACTTTGCTCATAGGTCTGGGTTAAAAATCATACTTTTATATATTGTACCCTATTTACCCTTTCTAGTTTGCAGTAAAAGCCTACAAATCTAGAAGAGATTTTATATGTTTATCACCATTAAAATCTAAGAAACAGTCTATTTTCAGTCCATTAAGAAGATGACCTGGCTATAAAAGGAGGTTTTATAGCCCTGCTTTCAAGTATGATTAAGTGTATTTTAAAGTACGTGGGAGATAGAGTTGAAGAATATGTAATGAAACAGAGTAAACGAGCTGCTGCAGATCTTCGGTAGCAATGTATCATCTCTTTCCCACAAGTTTGAAGGGGAGAGAAAAAAGACTTTCTTAAACAATAGTTGTTTAGATTTATTTTGTGGAAGTAGCATTGGGTTTTTTGCTGCGCGTGAGCAATCACTCGATAGCTGTCCATCCCTTTTGTCTTTCTGTGCAGCATATCGTGGAGTTCTGAGCAGTCCAGTAAAGACTGTACGAGATGCACTGATCAACCAGTGTGCCCAGATCCTAGCTTGCTATCGAAAGAACTGTGCTAGTCCATCTTCTGCTGGCCAGGTAAACTCCAATGCTTTCACTTGAATCACAGACTCAGGCATTAAAAGGTGATGAGAGCTTCTTCCTACTTAGAATCATAGAATCGTTATGGGTGGAAAAGACCTTTAAGTTCATCAACTCCAACTGTTATCTAGCTCTACGAGGCCCACTTCTAAACCATGTCCCTGAGCACCATATGTAGATGGCTTTTAAATACATCCAAGGATGGTGATTCAACCACTTCCCTGGGCAGTCTGCTCCAGCTTTGATATCCCTTTAAGTGTAGAACTTTTTCCTAATGTCTAACCTAAACCTCCCCTGGCGCAACTTGATCCCATTTCCTCTTGTCCTTAATCTACTCAAAAAAGTCAATTGGTTTGCTCAGCAGAAATTTGCAAAGAGAAGACTCGAGGAAGTAGAGGGACTGCAAGTAAAACTATAGTTGAGAATGGCTTCTTGGACATCTCTCTGGAGCCCAGAAAGCACTGCCTGCTCCAGGGAAAAGTTTTATGTTATTTTTGCAAGTCCATGATATAATTAGACTGTCAGCTTTCACTCCTCATAGCTGTACCACACTTTGTCGGTTCATGCAAGCCTCGTTTTGTCAAATATAAACTTATTCAGCAAGACAGCTGACCAGCTTCTGTCTGCTTGTGACTTGTAGCTGATCCTCCCTGAATGCATGAAGCTGCTTCCTGTGTACTTGAATTGTGTGTTGAAGAGTGATGTCCTTCAGCCTGGTCCGGAGGTCACAACGGATGACCGTGCCTACATTCGTCAGTTAGTCACATCCATGGATGTGGCAGAAACAAATGTTTTCTTTTATCCCAGGCTTTTGCCCCTGGTGAGTAACTCAGGATATTCTAACTACTTGAGACTTGCTGTTATCTTGACTCTTTGTAAGGACTGGCATTTGTGTTGTAGCAAGGGAAAGCGATTTGAGAAGGATTTGGGATCTGCCATCTGTTGGGATACTTCACTTAATTCCACTT